GTCTTAAAAGGTCACTGGATAAGCTGAAGGACAAGGAACGAGACAAAGTTGGTTTCCTTAAATGTTCGCTCGGCACTCGTTACTTGTTTTTTTTGTTCAAGCCGTTTTTCTTGCGCTTTGTGTTGGTTTCTGTTTTGTTGCTCGTCAAAGTTATCTTTTATTTAGCGTCGAAAGTAATCCGGTGTTGTTACTTTGCTCTGTGATTGGTCAATAAAACTCCCAATCAGACGCAAAAATAAAACCAATTGCGACTTGGTTACTCAGTCCTTTCCGCTCTGCAAACAGTTTTCATGCTTTCGCCTTGAATTCCCATTGGCTCCTTTTCACATTTGCCTTTTCCTGATTGGTCGTCTTTGGTCCTACGACGCAAAATCGAAAACTCGCCTTAAATGTTTATATCCTTTAACCTTCTTTTCTCGGCTCTTCATTTTGTTTTTGTTACCTAGTTTTGTTAAAATTGACATTTTCCAGTGGAGAACCTAATGTTTCTTTTGCCTTTATTGCTTCTCAAGGTTCTCACCCCGGAAGAGTTGAAGGATGCCCAAGAAGCCGTTGCCTATGGCTGTGTAAAGTACGCAGATCTTTCACATAACAGGATCAATGACTATGTGTTTTCATTCGATAAGGTAAGTCGTGAGAGAGGTTTGCTTGTTAAGCAAAATGAAAGCGTCTTGATTATTTATTGAGATTTTTCAAAGTCCTAGATAAATGAGTACACTTGTTGTTTAAATGATATACTGCTTCTTTAAATGCTGTGACGATGGTGCAGAGCAGTGGTACAGCTTTGAAATTATACCTTGTCGAATCTTTCGTGTTTTGAGAGGAAGAAGGGATGATTTGTTCGAGATGTTTTTTAGACCGTTTCAAGTTGTTGAATTTAATGGTCGCGCTTCAACTTGCGGCCGTCTTGGTCGCCACCGCGGCTGGAAAGAATTTATGTGTTAGAGTGACCTCTCATCTAGGGGGCAAAGGATGGTAACAATAATCCTAAACGCTTCGCTTTATGTGAGAGTCTCATCGAAATTTTTGCTCCCATCAGATGTTGGACGACAAGGGAAACACAGCAGTTTATCTTCTTTACGCATACACTAGGATAAGGTAAAAGTCATCTTTGTCACAGTTAGGTACTAGTGTACAAAATTATTAACACTGCGTTCATGTGGTATTTTTCTCAGAATAGTTCTTTTTGGACTAACTTTCGCCCATCGGTTTCGACACTGTCGATCCTAGCAATATGAAGAACTCGTTTCGGTCGGATCAGCTTTTCGGCAAATTTGATTCGTTTTCTGGGTCGTAATAAATTACCGTGGAAGTGAAGGAAGCCACAAAATATTAGTTTGATAAGTTAGAGAAAAATTTATTAGAAATATAATACAAAAAGGTTAGGGGTGATTTAGTATAGATACATTTAACACTGATTGCAAATGAATAACTTGGAAGGTTTTTAAGCCTTTCACCCCCAGGAGTGACGAGCATCTAAATTCTCCTTACAATGTAACCCGCGAATTATACACCAAGGTCAGAAGAATAAAGAAAATGATCACCAACTGAAGAAGTTCTTGATTGTTAAACAAATTCTCCTTGTAAGCAGCATCTTAGATGTATAGAGAACAGTATGGAGAATATACATACTGATATGAAGGGCCAAAGTATTCAAATAGTGTGTAGTGTTCATAGTTACCGTTATCTTAGCAAATTGCTCTTCAAATCCAAGGTTTTTATGTGGCTCAGTTTTAAAATTCCTGACCATTGCACGTTTTTTGTTGGCTTTCGTCTTTGTTTTGAGTGTCTTTCAACCATTGTGTTTTTGTTTCGTTTCCAGATCCATCATGCGCACGGCCAATATTGACCGCAAGAGTCTGGAGTCTTGTTTAAACACCACAGAGATTTCTCTGGACCATCCGAAAGAGTGGAAACTGGGCAAGTGTATCATTCGCTTTCCCGAGATCCTTAGCCGCGTTCTAGACGACTTAATGATGCATACGCTGTGCGAATTCATGTACGAAATGGCCACCACTCTTACAGAGTTCTACGACAACTGTTACTGCGTGGAAAAGGACCGGAAAACAGGGGAGGTAATCAAGGTGGACATGGGACGCCTGCTTCTTCTCGAGGCCACCGCGCGCGTCATGGAAACTGCGTTTTACATCCTGGGAATTAAACCTGTTACAAAAATGTAAACATGCTGTTAACAAACAACTTGAATGAATTCCCGCTTCTAAGATCACAACAGTGATAACTCTTCCAAACATAGTCTAATCTTTGTATTTTGAAGGCAAATGTTCCACTCGTTTTAGGTGGCCGTCTGTGTTGCAGGCGTGGCTTCCCAGTCATCAACGAGGATACTTTTATGTTTGAAATAAAAATATGTAATTTGATGTAGACCGTAGCAAGAACATGTTACGATTTATCATCTTTCTTTTAGAAATCTAAGTTTAACTCTTGAAATTTTTCTGAGCCTGAGAATTAAAATGCTTTGACGGTATCTCTTGGTCAAATGTTTTGGGAAATTGAAAGTATCTAGTAATAGTGAAAGGCTCGTGTTATGTATATTTTGTCACGGGTCGAACATCATGAATTGCATTTTATACCTTTGTGCAGTTACTGCATTTCCGAATATTCCTCAGTATTTACTAGAGAATCATGGGTGAAGCGGTCTAATAAACCGCACGAAAATATTCGGTAGATGATAAATATTATTTCTTGGGTAGGGGTTGATAATCGTGCGGTTGTATGATCGACTTACATAATCAGTAAACTCCTGAAAATCTGCCCCAACCGGCCGTTGGAAATTTTTACAAAAATGTCGGGGGTTTAGTCTATTCGAGACCGTGCTTAGCAGAATTTCTACGTGACGGAAATTGAGCACAATTATAAGGTTGCATGCTCAAGCTCGGATAATTTGTTCACTAAAACAAAAAAAATAGTTTTTGGATTATCTTGACTTTTCTAAACAAACATCTGATAATCTTAAGAAGTTTGAAATAACCTTTCAGTTGAAATTCTGTAAAAATTTCTGACTGGGCATTTAGTCTATTTGAGTCCGTGCCCAGCTGCTGGGCATTTAGCCACAGCGAAAATTAAAGTCAGTGCGATTTTTCCCTGCACGGAAAAAGTCGCGGCGGGAAAAAAATGAGGTGGGGAAAAATAAAGTTATCGAGAAATATGAGATGACACTGACTGGGCTCCGGAATTACTAGCTGCACGTTAGACGACACCTTCAGGAAGAAAGAGGTTAACTTTCTAAAGAAAATGTGGTGCTACGTCGGTGGGAGAGTAAATCAGGGTAATTTAGCATTATCAACTGAGTTGATAACGTAAATTTGCCATCGTAAAGAGTTGAAAAGCTGAAGTTTCAAGCGTTAGCCCTTCGTCAGAGCGACGGGAACCTTCAGGAATAGCTTTGAAAACGAACGGCAGGACAATCGATCTTTGTCATAGCTTTGGTACGGAATAATCTAGAAAACTCTAGCTCTCTCAAGCGTATGACTCCTTCAAGTGTCTCTTCTTTGTTGCGTTCGGTGTGGTTGTAATTGTATTAAGGACCGACTTTTTCAGAGCTAAGTCTAGGGAACTGTTTCAGGAGTGACGTCATACCACGTAACCGTACGTACTAGAGTGCAGCCTTAAATATGGCTCGCAAGCAGAGCAGAAAGCACTGTTTTTCATTTGGCTGCTTTTAATGGTTAAAGATGGAAGAAAGTAAGAAAGGCCTTCAAAACATCAGAAAAAAAGATTCTGTTATTTCATAATATATAACTACAATGTTAATCTTGCTTTCAATATATTTTTTGTGTTTTAGTGATTGATTCAGTGCAGGAGATATCAACAGCTCTGATTGCTTGAATATTTAATTTTCAACGAATAATGAGATATAGAAAGAAACCTTTTTGACAGTTTGACTGTTATGATGTTTTTCTTCGTCATGGTTCATTAGTTGAGATATGGTATATCATTTTGCATCTCTATCACGAGTATTTTACATATGAATCAAAACATTCTACCAATTAATCGTCAGTATTGTAATCACCTTGTGCCGCGTGATTATTATAAGAAATGATATATCCCTCCACCTATCAGAACGCACACCTCACTAATATTGCATGATCTAATATGCTGATAGAAAATGTTGGATTAAACTTTACATTTAAATCCAAAAACTATACGTCTAAATATAATGGGACACAAAAACGATAACGAAATGTTAATAACTTATACTTTATATATGTCTATCAATTTGACACCACACTGCCTTCGCCTGGCTGTTAAGGGTAACTTCAAGAGCGCGGAGACAAAGCCGTTTTTCCGTTTATATCGAAGAAAATGCAGTGGCTGCAGACTCCGGTCGTTGGCCTTCAAGGAGGAATTCAGCAGCTTCTGCCTCCATGCATGCGCGATAGCCTTCCCTGTGATAGCTGGTAAACATGGCTTGTGTGAAGAACTGATTCCCAGTGGAATGCTGTGGAAACGCCCCACACATCCACTCTGACAATCCTCGGCACGTGTTACCATGGCAACATTCGCAGCAACAGAAGGTCAAACGGTCCACCTCTTCCGCCGATAGCTCCGGCCCAGGTCCCCAGTGGCCAGCCTCAAGATCAACATCAATGTCACGCAAAACCTCTCCCCAGGAATCAAAAGTCTTCTTTTGTGCGGTTTTATTTGGGTGTCTAGGCGCAATGAACAAAATTTCACCTTCGCCAACTTTGGTTTTGCCGTCGCCATTAGGATTGGTGTCATAGTAATAGACTTTGAACCTGAGTAACAGGATTACTATTAGTAATAATTATTAATCATCCTTAGTACCACTTTGTAAGAGACGCTGTTGGCTTATGACTTGCACACTAGCTGACCTGGAAAATAAGGTTCACTCTCACAGTGCCACTCTCCACCCCGGAAAGGGTACACACGTGTAATACCAGGAAGATTCTGGCGTAACCTTCGATAGACTAACATTACTTACGTACTCCCAGCGTGAGGTGGTGGGGGGGGGGGGG